TTTTTTTCATGTTTTATTTTGTTTGTTTACACTAAGGAGTATTTACACTGCATTGCAACAACAGCAGCTAAAAGGTTATTATTGTATTTATATTTACGCAGATAGTGTCCAGTGGTAAAAAATTAGATTTCCATTTATTTATAAACATAAAATATACTTTCTTATTCTTATAATTTTTAATAGACGCAACAAATTTTTCGGTCACTTATCCAACTAGGTACATTAATGACTGGCTTAAGCAGTGTGAGTTTAAATAAAATATACTGATTTTTAAAAAATTATTTTAACGTATGTAAGATTTCCTATAATAAATAAATTTTTTTATCAGTTTCAACATTTCAATTTTTTTTTAAGAACGACATTCTTTTCTTTTACATAACAGTACAACACAACCTTTCCTACATAACAGTACAACACAAGATAAAATATTTATCATCAAATACTTCTTTCATTTATTACAGTCTTATCAAATACTTTACATTTAAAAATAACACTGTATTGATATCTATTTACAAATAAAAAGTTAGTTATTATGTTCTTTGCATTATTATGTTATTAGCTTCAGAACTTTCATGAGTATGAAAAAATTGTGTCATAAAATAAGTATGTAACTTTAATATAGTGTTAACATAAAAATAAACTTCTTATTAGTAAATGGATATCTATGCAGTGTTATTTTATAATGTAAGGTATTTAAAAAGACTGTAATTAATGAAAAAACTATCGAATAATCAGTATTTTATCTTGTGCTGTATTATGTCAAAGAAAAAAATTGTAATCATTAAAAAAAAGTTGTAATGTTAAAAACAAATAAAAAATTTCATTTTTTATAAGAAATCTTACATGTGTTAAAATAATGTAAAAAATTATCATATTTTATTCAAACTCACACTACTTATATTAGTCATTAATTTACCTAGTTAAATAAGTCACCAGCAAATTTACTATGTTGAACAAAATTTAAACAAAAATTTTGGTTATGTCAAGTATACAAACACAACTTGCGTAATTCAACTTACAACTCGATTTTAAATTCGCTAAGGGATCATTTACAGTGAGAAGTCAGAGTTGCTGCTAGCCGCCGTTGGCTGCAGCTAGCAGAAGCAAGCGTCAGCCAGCAGCGTTGGGTTGAGAGGATTCCCGTTGGAAAAGCGAATAGGCAGAGAAGTAGAGGGCATTCAAGAGGTTCTCATCAGTGCTTCCAAATGTGACTAGCAAACATG